AACTGTTATAGTATTAGAAATATGAACTGTGCATAGTTAATTAAAACAATTATTTCAGGTTAAATTAAACCACTTATTTCACCCTGGGGAAAATTTTCTAAAATGCCTAAGTGAAAGTCATTTGAACTTCCTAGTTGCCTAATTCTCTTTAAAATTAGAGAGTCGTTTTTTAACCTAGGTTGTGTTGAAATTTTTTACCCCTCTTCTTTCAAGTTTTTAGAAATCATAAATCTCATCTCCCTCCCTCTTTTTATTCATAGGCTAGAAAAAAAATAAGTTTCCCTGCTTTTTCAACTCCCATTAGATGTCTCAGCTTTGAATGAACTGGTCCAAATGAAGAAAATGTTCTTTCTGCACCTGCTGCTAAAAGCTGTTTTAGCACTTCAACAAACTCTGCTTCCAGGTGCTTTGCTAGTGACTTCCATGAGTTCAGTGGTGTGACTCTCTTTAAAACATGCTCAGCAAATATGTACTGCTTGAATGGTTTACCTCTAGCCCTGAAATTTATTATGATTGGCACGATTGATGGGTGATTTAGATGCCCATATCATAGCAACGCTTTTCTCTTTGGCAGTTAGGCATCTACCCTGGTACTTTGTTAAGAATATTGGCAAGAAAATGAGGTGGAGTAAGTGCTTGATCCATCCGTTTCATTACTTCCTGCAATTTAACTTTGCTGTTGGGTATTTCTGGTTTTAATGTTTCTTGAAGTTCTTTCCAAATTTCTAAACCATCTGCAGTACAGCAGCAATCTTTCTGTAGTTTGTCCAAGGCTATGGAAATAGATTTTAGTGTATTCATCATGCCTTCTACATTTCTCTTTAGTCCAGTATTGACAACTCTAAGCTGTGATGCTTCTATCAATTTTGTCACAATTTTCTTCACAGACGGTCATCCGAATAGGCCAGTTGTTAGTCAACCACTGAATTCCATCATACATCTTGTGGGAGAGTTAGCTTGGATTTCCCAGGTCTTGTCAGTGTAGCTGAAGCAAATTGGTTGTTACAGAAGTATTTTGCAATTTCAGCAACATTTTCCTTTATACCTGGAGTACTTAAACCTTTGGCTAACGGATGCAGAAAATAAGCATTGCACCCATATGCTACAAGTTACAGGTTTGCTTCATTATCTTCTGCTAAGTTTCTTTTCATCTTTGTTGCATTTACAGCATTAGGTTCCAACATTTGTGATGACTTTGCTGATCCTTTGCATCCACTAATAGAGACCCTGTATCCCCTGCAGGGTCAGGTCCCTGATACATGAAATATTATGCCATGTTTTTAAAGCTTGACATAAAAAATTAAGTGTTTTCTCCCTTGTTCCCATAGAAGAAAATCAGCCTTTTATTCCAGAGTTTTCAGTAGAAGCTCATTGACTCAATGTATTTTATTTAAATTATTTTAGTAGATTGTACTAATTTTATACTTTATCCTATGCTGTATTAAATTCAGATTTCATTTTAAGATGGTATATTTTTAGAAAGAAAAACTTCATTATCACTTAAAATATTTGAATTAAAAATTGATTTTTTTAAAATGTAAAAAATAATCTTTTTTTTATCCACTGTGCTTAGGGTGAAGGGGAAAGGGTGGAAAAGTAACAGCTGCAGCCATGCAACCATGCTGGTGGCACTGGCAGCTAGAAGTTGCCATTGCCCCTGCATATTGCCACTGCCTCAGGTGCTCAGTTAGTTTGTTATGCTTCTGCAGGGAATGTTATTTAGCTTTTCTTCACTTGACAAACTTTTTTCTTTCCTCTCTGCCTAGAGCATACATCAGGGGTGGGCAATTATTTGGGCTCAAGGGCTATTTAATGAGTTTTGGTGAGCTGTTGAGGGTTGCACACATATGTGCACACACATGCATGAGCCCAGCATCCCCCATGGTGCCTGGGAGATGCAGTCTGGCCCCACAGGCCTTGGGCGGGCTAGACTCCATCTCCCAGAGCGCTGTGCAGTGCTGGGCAGGCAGGTGGGGCTGCTTCTGCCCCGCATCTCCTGAGGCACCAGCAGAGGCTGGAGCTGGAGGCACTGACCACCAGCAAAGGCAGGGGTCCAAGCAGGCTCTTCAGGGCCTGCCGTGTGCTGCCGCTGCCCATGCCACCTGCCCATGAGCCAGATAAAATGAACTGGCAGACTGAATCTGGCCCACGGTGCATATTTTGTCCACCTCTGGCATAAGTGAAAATGGCTGTCTCTGTGCTGTGGATTCATGTGAGCAAGCAACACAATCTTGGTTTGTGTATCTGTGTTGAGCAGGGGTTCTCCTACTGCTGCTCACAGGCCAGATCTGGCTTATCAAATCATGTCATCCGGTCCGCAGAGCTGTCATCCAGCCCATGGGATCTCCTGGAAATGTGCTAGAGAGGGAGCAGTGGTAGT